CAGAATTGTGGCTATTAGGCTTCAATGTAGGTCTTTCCACAATGGGGAAATGATTGGTTTAAGGATATAAAACTGCAGTTGAACAAGAGGCATGGACTCTCTGAAGTCTTGAAGTCTACTGAGAGCATGATAAATAGGGTTGACAACAATATGCTATATTAAAAGTTGTGAGATAGTATACTTTAAGTGTTCTCAAAACAAAAATGATGAATATGTGTGATATAACATGTTAATTGGTTTAATTTAACCATGCCATTGTGAACATACTGTATTCTGTATCCTTTATTTATGAGCTAAATAAATGAATGAAAAAAAAAAACACTGACGATTTGTGCTTTCACAGAGCACGTATTTGGAGGAGTCCATGTGAGCAATTTGGTCCACCAGTGAACAAAATTCTAGGTGTGCTCAAAAGCGATAAGACCAATGGCGAGAAGAAGGAAGGACACTCCTTATATTGGCTCAATCTTATGTAAAATTCCCATCAAGACATCTTGGGCTACCAACTGGCATCACCGAGTGTAGAGTTAGAAAAGACATGCACAGTTATCTGGGTGAGCTTGTGTGGACTGGTTACAGCAAGACTCTGAAAAATGTTTCTGGACAAGTGCAAAAAAACCTTTTCTGGTGGGAAGAGAAGCAACACACTTAGAAAGTCAAGTAAGGGCGCACAGGCGGGGTGGGAGGAGGATGGGACTGGATGGGCAGCAGAAATTTCAGGGGAGCAGTTATTTAGGGTGCTAGATAATAAAGGCTTTAGAGTGAGTGTTTGGGGCTATATCCCATGAGATTCAAAGGCATTGAAATATTTTGGGTGTGTTTTGTTTTGTTTTTAGTAACATTACTCAAGGGCCACTCTCACATGCATTTTGGGGATAAGTCATTTAGGGCTGGGCAAAGGCAGGTGTTCTTTCAGTAATTCAGACAAAAGAGGGTGGTTTGGGTCAAAGGGGTATCAGAGAGACGGTACGAGAGAATGACAGTTCAGGCACTCGTGGAGTTAAATCCAGCAAAATGTGCTGACATTTTGTGGTGGCTCATAGTAACTTCATAGTTCTGGTCTAACTGGACAGAGTCAGAACTTCCAGAATTGTTACAGAGACAATGGGGAGAGGAATAATGTAAAGAAAATTAGGTGTTTTGTTGTCTCTGAGAAAAGTTCCTTACAGTTGACCTTGAACTCATGCCTCAGCCTCCCTAATGCTGGGGGTTACAGGTGTGCACCAGCACACTACCGATAAAGTTTGGTATGCTTTCTTGGAATCTAATTGGAGATACAGAACCAAGCAGTCATGTGCATGAATCCGGTTGTAAGGGGAGGTCTGGCTCAGAAACACAACTGTGTGAGTCTGCAAGGTCATGCTCACATTGAGAACTCAAGGATGGGAGCACCTGGAAAGGGAATAGAAACTCAGGAGCCCTTATAAACACATTCCAGCAGTGCTTTCAACACTTAGCTAGTACAAGTTCCCTGAATTCCTATAACAACTGTCAGAGGTGGATGTTATTTATTTTCCCCTTTTACAAATCAGGAAAGTGAGGCACAGAAATGTTGAGGAATTCACTCACACTGGCAAGCAAGCACATACTAAATGGTATCATGGCATTTCCACCTATGCTCTCTGCTTCCAGAGCTCTTGTTAGAGAAGAGATCCCATCCACAGGCTTGAGCCTCATGCCCTGTGACAGTTGGGCAGAAACAAGGTGAGGCTAAACAGGAAGTGTTAGACTGTGGGTCAAACACTTCGTTTTGCCCCAGGAATCCTACTCATATTCAGGGATAGTGGGTGCCATAGAAACTAAGTAAAGCAAAAACACTGTTCCCTTGCAGTGAAAAGAGTTGTTTAAAATAATAGATGAGGCAGAGCCCCACCTTTAACCCTGCTTCCAGTGGGTGCACGCTGCTCCTTTCACAGCTCAGCTCAGTGAGAAGCAGCAAGCAGCACACAGAGATGGCGAGTACGGTTAGCATACAATTACTAACAGTCTTCCAGCAATTCTTAAGAGTAAAAGGGAGGGTGACAATGACACCTGACAGCTGCTTTAAACTAGGACAGTTCTATACACACCACCCATGTGGACAGGGGTCCTAAATATCTTTTTTTTTTTTTTAGTGATGGTGTTTGTATGAATACACGGGTGCAGATTTACTGGCTTCACACAAATGCCAGCCATTGTGGCTGCCTTCCTGTTCTTCTTTTGTGAGCCACTGACAACGTAGCTGTTGTGTTGTTTTGTTTTCCAACTACTGTAAAAACAAACTGTATGTCATTGGTAGGTGATGACAGATAGTGATTGGAGATACAGCACCTGGGAGTCTCCCTTAGAGAAATGAAGAGCAATGCAGGTTCCTGGGGCTTTGATATCAATGCCACATTCCAAGGATTGGGACAGAAACACTGAAAAACCTAAATAAAACTGAAATCTGATTAGAAATCACTTTAAAGATTGACTATAAACCCATTCAGAAAGTTTCTTCATTTGTAAGCTCACCTAAATAAACTGAAAAAGGGGGAAATCTAAGTATTCACAAGCACTTTAGTGTTACATAAAAAAAAGCTTGGTGTGGTACATATGAAAACAGAACAGCAAAATGAAATACAAGGGAGTGTACTGTACCTTGTTTTACCTGTGAGGAACACACACCTGACAAAAGGCGATTTTCACATCCAAGGTTGGTTCACTGCAGTAGTATAAGAAATGGAGGCTCATAAATACCTGTAGGAAACAAAAATGGGAGATAAGTTTCCAAGTCACTAACTTTTAATTATTTAGTAGTATAGATTTTGTAATCATTTGAGTTAATAGACAAGAGATCATGGGCAACACATATGAACCACAGATCTCACCCAGGTACTTTTCCACAAATTACAAATATTATATAATGTAATATGGTAAAATATGTTATGTTCTATAATGGTCAATGTCATCCTAGACATATACATTAGATATAATAATTAAATAATAAGTTAAGGCTAACTACAAAATTTATATAAAACTTCAATGCTCAGCATCTAATTGAAAAAAAAAAATCAGACATAAGCTCAAGAGCATGTGTATGGAGGCTTATTGTAGAATTCGATGTTTATTATGGTTCAGAACTGTTTGTTCTCCGTAAACTCGTATGCTGGAGACTTGATCTCTAACCCAGCGGTGTTCAGATAAGGAGACGATGATGATATAAACCTAATAAATGATGACTAAGTCGTTGATGCATCCACAGCTGAATTGACTGATAAAGGGTGTGGAAACTCAAGTAGGTGGGGCTGGCTAGAGGACAGAAGCCACTGGGGTGTGCTTTTCAAGGCTGTGTCTCTTTCCTCTCCTTCACTTGCTCACTCTTTCTGTTTCCCTGTCCACCACATGCTCCCTGCCACGATGCTCAACTCTTAAACGGTGAGCTGAAATACATCTCCTTTAAACTGTTATGAGGTGATATTTTGTTCATGATTTATTAAAGCCACTGGAGATCAAAACAGCAAAGCAGCTACACTAGTTAGCAATAGAAGCCAGGCAGTGGTGGTACACACCTTTAATCCCAGGACTCAGGATTAAGAGGGAGTCAGATCTCTGTTAGTTCAAGAGATCCACACTGAGCTACATGAAACTGATCCAGTCTAACAGAGAAACAGCTCACACAAAGTTGATCTCAGCATCTGGGATCACACATCTTTAACCCCAGCACATAAGGAGTGATATGCCTTAGGTGGAGAAAGGAATAAAAGGAGACAGTATTTGAGAGCCTTTTGTCTCTGAGGATTTGGGGGAGACAGGATTGCCATTTCAACTGGGTAGAGGTCTGATTTACTGGCTTGGCTTTGGCTGCTTTGCTTCTCTGATCTTCAAATTGAACCCCAATATCTGTCTCTGGGTCTTTTATTCATCATGCTCCATTGTTATTCTTGGGTATGTAATCTCAGTGCTGAGAAACTGACAGAATCCTAAGAAGTAAACTAAGATATGTAATATAATTCTATTAAAGATGTAGAATTATTTGATTCAGATTTAGTGCATAAAAACAGATAAAATCTTCAAGCATGATGCTTTTGGAGAAAGCAAGCTTAAGTTCACTAATCAAAGATTTAAAATATAAAAAAATAATAGCACTCATTTTATTTAAAGTAATGTAACTAAAGAACACAGAAAATTGGGCATTCTATTAACATCTGTTTGATCTCGGTGGGAATAAAAAAGATTTAATTATGCTGTTTTTTGTGGGTTTGAAATATTTAACAATTCTGCAAGGTTGCAAGAGGAGGAAAATATTAAGGCAATGCCACCTGAAGACCTGAATTCCTTGGTAATGATATGGCATCAAAGAATCTGGCAGCTTCACCCACTTAATTAAACATATTTTTGAACATCATTGCATGCAAGGCAGCATTCTGTGAGATCAAAGGATTAAAACGGAGCATGGATGTAAGACTTCTGTTTCTGACGTATGATTGATTAGGTATCCTGAAAATCACTCTGAAATCAAAACTCCTAAAAAAAAAAGTTAGATGAGAAACAGAAAAGATTCTAAGATGCTAACACTAATGCACAAACTGACTTAGTGGAGTCCTTTCTATATGGAGAGACACCTTGCCCAGCTTAGACACAAGGGTGTGGGGGTAGAGAGGTACCTTGGTCCTGCCTCAACTAGATGATGGTACAGACTTAGTAGACTTCCTACGGGAGGACTTACCCTCTCCGTGGAACAGATGGGAGGAGGAGGGAGTGGGGGGACTGGGAGGAAAGGATGGAGGGGAAACTGGGATTGGAATGTAAAAAATAAATTAATTAAAATGTCACAAAAAATAAACAAAAGATTCTAAGATGCATAGCTAAGCTTTTCAAAGGGGACAAGAAACGTTCTGAGAAACAGAGAACAATGTAGAGGGACACACACAGAAGCCCAGGAGCCAAAGTTTCTGCTTGGCCCTCGCCACCTAGTCGTTCCTGGAGAATAGAACTTCCAGTTTGAAAGAGAATATGCAGAGTATAGTGACCAAGTCTCCATCTACCTGGGTGGGAAGTGACGTTGGAGGTCACTGGAAAAGCCTTGTGAGAGGAAATTTCAAGCAGACTTCATGAGGAAGCAGAATAATCCAGAATGAGGTCTGAGTTGCCAGAGTCATGTTTAATGTTGGACTTTGACATATATTTATCTTCCATATAAGGAAGAGTAAAAGGATAAAAATAAAGAAATAAACATTCACAAATAGAGAACAGCCTGGGCACTTGTTTGGGTTGAGAGAGAGAAATACTATGGTGGAGATGAAAGTATAAGATTATTATAGAAGTTGAGAATCAACTAATAGAATAAAGCGCCTAGAAAGAAATAGATCCATACATGGAGATCAGATTATGTTAAGGTCTACATTGCAGACATGCAGGGAAATGAGAAACTGTGTTGAATCATGAATGAGACAATTGTCCATTCATGTGGGAAGAAAAGTCAACCCCCATTGGAAGATGGTTCTGTATGGGACTCCTGAATTTGTGTGTGTCTTGCAAACAGAAACCCTGGCTGCTTTTGTTCCAGTCTCAAGGGAGTTTATACAGCAGACATGCTTGGACGATACATACAGCATCTCCTTCTTAGATCAAATAGAAGGTTCAACCAGTCTACAGTATAATAAAACCAAGAAACCACCTTGAATATGAGTTAGACATGATTCCTATCCATCTTAAAGTATTTGAGGGTTCAAAGCTTAATGTTCCTTTGCAATATGCAGTCTAACATATGTGTGATAACTCTCCAACCTGCCTTGCATCACTCTGTGGGAACTGAGGCCAAGAAGCTGTTCTGGATGTTGCTACTCTAGCTTCTGGCTGATGGTGCTGCTGTAAGTAGCAATGAACCTGTATCTAGTCCAAGAATCTGGTGTCATCTACCATTACCCGTGAAATGATGGAAGATCAGCTTGGAAGCTGGCAAACAGGGTAATATCTCAGACTCTTTAGAAGTCTTAAGAACTTCTCTCTATATATATGTCTATATAACTCTTGTTATGTAGAAGAAAATCACACAGATAAGGTTAAAAACCTCAGAAAGGGTCAAATTATAAATATTACAAATTGCAAATATTACATAGAAAAATATAATTGAATATCAGACACATATAAATTGTATGCACATATGCTAAAATATAAAGGGAATTACTGCTAAATGATTTTAAATTTAGTAAGTTTACTTCTGAAGAAGATCTAATGAGTTTTTTAAAAGTAGACCATAAATCTGGTAAAGTATTTAAAACATACAACCAATGGATATTTTAGTTAGAATGTATATAGCTCACTTTAAAAAAACAATCAAGACAAACTCAGAGAGCCCAGCAGGAAAAAATGGACTAGTTAAAACACTAGTTTTAACTAGTGTTTTAAACTAAGTGTTTAAAACAAGTTAAAAACATTTCATAGAAAAAATGTCCATAAACACATGATGTATAAAATAAAGCCACAGTTGAATCATATCTGATACCTATCAAATGACCTGAAGCTGAAGAGAATGAGAGCTTTCAGATTTACAAGGAGAGCAGAAGCCAGTATCTATGCACTTGGAGAGCTATGCAGATGGAAATGAATTCAGGAGAAATAGAAGTATTTCTTAAAGTTGTGCACAATGTACAATCCAACAAATCCATATGTACACACATTACAGAGATGCCAATGTGTTTTTCTCTCAGGTTACACACACACACACACACACACACACACACACACCTGAGGGTTCACTCCAATATCTCCCCAACTGTAAAACAAGTAACAAAAA